TTCTGAAATCACAGTAGAACTTAAAAATAAACTGAAATTCTTCCAAAGATTTCCATCTTTTTTTCTCCATATGGAACAATTTTCCCTTATGTTCTTATCTATATTTTACCAGCAGATCTCTTCACATGCAGAGATCATGCTAAAAAATTGTCCAATATGCATTTTGCTGTTTCTGCTGAAACAAACACTCCGGGAGAATGCTATTAAAATTCTCCTACTCCCTAGATAAAGAAGAGGGAGAGGAAAATCCCTTGTTTTACAGAATCTTTGGAAACCATTTGAATTTTGAATAACAATTTAATGGACATTAGGGGGAGTAATTAGGAAAACAACAACAACAACAAAAACCCTACAACCAAAATCATTTGTCATTTGTAACTATCTAGATTGCAGATATACTGTTTACTTTCCTACTCAGATTATATTTTCCACATTCAAAACATTAAAGTTCTCTGAAGGTTTCTTTTTGATCCAGATCTATCATCTTTGTTTATTTCCAAAGTCAACCATTCAATTAAGTTGATTGGGTAACTTACTAAGCTATTCTACAAAAGGAAAACAAGAACTACATTTTCAGTAGTATTACCAACTAGTAGTTATTTCCAACTCCCATATGCAAATTAGGATTGCAGATCCTGTGCATCAGAGGAGTAAACTGTTCATAGAATGTAGAGAAATTTATTTGCAAATTCACTTTTGCATGCTCAGTCATCTGAATTCATAACACAGGGATCATCTTTTAAAAGCATAGCCAAAAATTTGGAGTTTCAAATTTCCGTATTAACTCATGTTCTGTTATTAAATCTACTTCCAGCTCAGTCAAAAATAAAATCAAGTGGCATTTCCCACTTTTCAGTTCCCCTTCTTAAAAGGAAGCATCCCACAAAGAACCTGGAAAAGATCTTTCATTCTTCTGTGACAGCTATCAGTCAACCACAACAATTTTCATACCGCAAGAAATTCAATTAATATGTAAAATAGGATCAGAGTATTTGATCTTTCAGTACTAATCAGTAGATCTGAAACAAAATGTGACTGTCTAATGCATGGCCAGTCACGTGGTATGAGATGGGCAGATAGGATTATTGAGAAATGACCACAGAATGCTGTTTTCTGTAATATTGATACATCACATGTGATGCCTGTGAAGCTCTAGCAATGAGGTAAGACATACGTATGTAGGTCACTTCAAAAGTAATGCCTCCTATTTATTTATTTACATGGAAACTACAACCAATACAAAGAGCACAATAATGCTATTTGATAGAAGAAAATCTCAGCTATGGATCACTGCTTTTCAACATGGTCACCACCATGAGCTATGCATTTTCATCATCCATGAACAAGAGCCTGCATGTTGGTCTCGAAAAATCAGCGCCAGCAGAGCTGATTACTGGCCCTGTTGCCAGTGCTGAAACAAACCACCCACCACCTCACTGTGCTTACATGCACTGTTTGTTCAGCAAGCATCCATTAGTTGGTAACAATCTAATAATTTTGCTTCCATAAAAGCCTTTGAAAATAAAAGGAGCATGAAAATTTAGAAAATATCAATTCAATTAAATTCCTAAGGTAAAAGTGAAAGACAGAAGACAGAAACATACAGCTCTTCACAGCTATTCTGTATTAAGTTGTTCTAGGAAGATTCCCTTCTGGTTCTGATGCTTGTCTAGCTCTCTGCAGTGCTGTCCTGAGGTGTTCTTAGAATTAGGAGGCTATTAGGAGCAAGGATCAGCTTCCTTTACCAAGTACCAGGGAACATTTTGGAGAACATAGGTACAGTTAAGTCCTTTAGAGGACATAACCCAGAACCATTTTAAAAGGAAGAGGGGGGTTATTTTCAGCTACTTTTAATTAATATTTGGACCTATTTATTTTGTCCTATTTTTCCTCTTGATCCTCTTCTCTCATCTTTGCTTTCTTTTCATACTAGCAAGGAACGTTATTTAAAATCTTTATTTAAAGTACAGGTCTGGGAATCTGGATTTTTTCCCTCTTCCTGTACAGCTATGAATAAGCATCTTAACCTCTACATTAGTTCTCACACCTGATAAAAGAAATTTACCTTTACATTTACGTACTTTGTAGAGAGTTTCTTCTGTCCTTCTGCCAATGATTCTTAACTGCTGAGAATTTTATTCCATTCATGTTTGTAAAGCATTTCAGGATGAAAGGCACAAGAGAAAAGCAATGTATGTAATTATGTGGTGGAATAATTTAATTAAAACATCATGCAATGGTTTAGTATAAATTATACTATGATCTACATTTAGGGTACTTGTATCCCTTTTACAGAGCAAGAGACAGGCTTTTCTAGAACTTAAGTCACATGAGTATCCTAACTTTAGTTGATGCTTCTTCCTTCAATAATTGTAGAGGGACCCAGGCATTTTACCTCCTGCCTTTGTGAATGCCTTCCTTTGTTATCTAATCCCTGATATTAATGAAGTCTGTGTTTTATTTTGGCATTACTTATCAACTCCTCAGAATGAACAAGAAAAGCAAAGTGGTAAATGAAAGAGCAAAGGGTGAGTTGAGAAATACTTGTTCTTTTACTCACAGAACTCCTCTCACGTTATAAGACACAAGGATTTTTCAGTCTTATCTGTAATATCTTGGGTAGAGAAGATGAATTAAATCAAGAGCACAAACCATGTGTCTGTGGTTTAGAAGACAGCTATCTTTCCACCATCCATTCTAGTGCTTTGGCTATGGCCCTGTTCTAAGTGCCTTGATCAGATTAAACTTATCTCAGCTGGAGGCAACTACTTCATGTACTCAGTAAAGCCTCAATTTCCAAATCAGACCCAGCCTCTGAACAGAACAAACTGTTCTAGAAATCATCCTAGATCTGAGAAGATATAGACTACTTACTACCAGTTCTCGTTTACTGCTGAAGCATCTCCCTTTATTGCTTCCCAGTGGCTGTCTTCCATGCTTTACCCCCTGAATCATAGAATCATAGGGGTTGGAAGGCACATCCTGGAGGTCACCAAGTCCAAAGTCCCCTGCTAATGCAGGTTCCCTATAGTAGGTTGTACAGGAAACTGTCCAGGCAGATTTTGAGTATCTCCAGAGGAGACTCAACAATCTCTCTGGGCAGCTTGTTCCAGTGCTCTGTCACCCTAAAACTAAAGTTTTTTTCTAATGTTCATATGGAACTTCCTGTGTTACAGTCTATGCCCATTGCCCCTTGTTCTGTCACTTGGCACCAACAAAAAGAGCCTGAACCCATTCTCATCCCTTTGGATATCTGTAAGCATTGATGAGATCCACTCAATCTTCTCCAGGTTGTGTGACCCCAGGTCTCTTATCCTTTCCTCATAAGGGAGATGCTCCAGGCCCCCAGTCATATTTGTGGTCTCCCACTGAACTCTTTCCAGTAGTTCCCTGATTTTCTTAAAGTGGGGGGCCCAGAACTGAGCACAGTACTCAAGATATGGCCTCATCAGGGCAGAGTAGAGAGGGAAAGTCACCTCCCTGAACCTGCCAACCACATTCTTTTTAATGCATCTCAAGATACCACTGGCCTTGTTGGCCACAAGGGCACACTGCTAGTCCATGGTCAACCTGTTGCCTACCAGGACATCTAGGTCTTCTCAGCAGAGTTCCTTTCCAGCAGGTCAGCCCCCAACCTGTACTAACGCAAGCAGTAAGAAAGGTCTATCTTTTTTCTCCTTTCATAGAATCACAGAATTGTAGGAGTTGGAAGGAACTTCCAGAGATCATCTAGTCCAACCACCCTGCCAAAGCATCACAGTAACGCAGGAGAACGTCTGGTGGGTTTTGTTTATTACTGCTTCAAAAAGCACAGCCATAGTTACGAAATAATGGGAGATTCAGGATTATACACATACCTGTTCCACATGTACAGAACAAGTTGTCTAGAGGCAAGAAAATTCATTAACACTGTATACCTTATTCATTATGATCATCTAATTTAGAAGGTCTTTTCGTGGATAAATGCATCTGAGAAACAGATGAGAGATTACGCATTTGCTAACATATTCGTGCAGATGAACCTCACACAACAAGAAAACAGGGCCAACCTGCTGAAGCTAGGTTGCAGATTACCACAGACACATTAGATCAGGAATCAGATTCCACTGCTTACGACAGCATATACTGTGATTACGGTGGACATGAACATCTTTTACGCAAAGAATTTTCATATATAGAAAATGATTTCATGGTTCAGGAGCTTTTAAAATAATGCTGATTTAATTACAAAATGTTTATGATTAAACAGTAAGCATACAAATTCTTCCTCTTTGTTGTTACAAATTATTACTTTTTAAATGACAACTGTCCCTATTTCTCAACTTATCCTTAATACCAGTTATATCATGATCTGTTGGTATATAATATCCTTTTTAGCTGTATGGAGACAAACACACAGAATGCTGTATCTGTAACACTATGTTTAATAATGACCTATCCTTACAGAAGCCTCCATTCACATGCTCTGGATCAACTTCAGTACAATTCCTGTTGTTTCTCTTACTTAGAAATTGTATTGTTTCCTTTACAGAAATAGCTAGAATTTTAACATTGGAGGGTGAAGCGACAAGGAAGAAACAGAAGATATCTGCGGGCAGGGAGAACAACATTTTATAAACATAGAGGAGAACAGTCTCAGAATTGACAACTGGATCTTTCAAGGATCAGTGGCATTTGCAGCTAATTCAAGGCAAAATTTTGGCTTTCTCTTCATCCAGCCATACTCAGCATCCCACAACTGAAATTGTTAATGAAATTTGCACTCACAGTTGTTTTTTTTTCTTTAAAAAAAAAAAAAAAAAAAAAAAAAAAGCAAGTATTGAATATGAATGTGGAAGAGAGGCAATTTGATGTTTGTAATTACCGAGGTAAACTCCACAACCTGCTGAATGTATGCAAACTGGACCCCGGATGGTGTATATAAATCTGACATGCAGAAAGTAAGAGCAGGTATTGAGACTTCTTTCTGGTAGAGCAAGTCATCACAGAGAATCCCTACCATGAGCAACACAGGGGCTTCATTGAAAGGTAAGACTTTTGCTATTCACTGTCTGATAATTCCTATGTTCAGGTTTGGACTGAATTAAGAAGCTGAAGGAAAACAATGCTAGAAACTAAGTTTTTCCAGCCTCTCTGTTTTCCAATAGTGGTGAAGCTTGCCTCCTCCTCCAATTTTAGTGTTCAGTCCTTGGAACTAGAAGGGAGCTTGATCCTCCCTTTATTCAGTCTTTGGTCTCCTGGATTACCTTTGAACTAAGCAGTGTCACAGAAAATTGACTTGAAGGATCTGATACACGCACACAAAAGACTGGACTCTAACTGCTCCACTACTCACAACACTGGTCAGAAGGCAATGACTTAAAGTCATCATCCACAGAGTCCAGAAGCAATTGGATCATTTTGAAGTAAATGATTTCATAATCACTTTTACCTGTCTAAGCCAACAAGTCTTGAGTTTTCTTGTTCATAGAATCATTCCCCAGAACACTGTTCTAACCGGAGAAGATTATTCATGGAGGAGGAGAATATTTTACTTCAATATTGTGTAAATGGGCAGACATTTCTTGAACTGAGTGCTAGAAAGAAATCCATCATGTGATAGCATGAGAGACAGTTCTGGTGATTTATAGAGTATATTTGAACTTTGACGTGAGAGTGAATATAGTGAACCAATGCATGTAGCAGGTCAATTTTGAGAACCAAAACTCAGAGCACAAAATGGTATTCTTTGAATAATTACACCCATTTACCAAATATTTGCTTTTAAAGTTTTCTATTGTTTTTCTCTGCATATTTTGTTTTGCTGAATTGAAAACTTGACACTGTTATTATTAAAACTTTTTAGCAGATGAAGTTCTGTCTCTTAGGTAATGAGAAGGCCCTTGTATCAGTTTCAGAAGTTCAGGAGAAAAGTTGAATGTTGCGTTTTCTCTAGTAGTAGGTAATTTAGGGTTAAATTCTAAATAGCAAAGCAGCACAAATGCTGGAAGTCTTCTGAAAGAACTCCCAGGACAATCAAAACCTTTAAAAAGTGACCTAACCGCCTTCCCACAAAATTAATTTGAATTCCAAATGTTTGCAAAGAAGGAAAGGACCTGTGGGAGGAAGAGAGAAAACCAAAGCAAAAAAAAAAAGAGAGAGAGAGAGAGAGAGAGTAATCTACTTTCTAAAGAAGTTTGTTTTTCTTTCTTTCATTGATCATTACATAATAAAGTCAAGCACAATAGATAGAGATTTTGGAATACAGTGTACCGTAACACAGGTTACCATGTCTCCTCAAACCCTGTAGAAAGTTCTGCTGTACAGGTAGGATGATGGAGGGTAGAAAGAATAATCTAAGGACAGTGCTTTCATCTTCTGTTTATTTTCAAGAGTCAGCACATCGGATACTCTGAGCCATGTGGCTGAGCAAAGCCAACATCCCTGCATGCTGATCATTTGCCTCTGACAGCTATTTCCAAATGCTTGCTTGCGTCAATATGTTCCCATTTTGGTTTGTTCCAAACCTGAACAGGTTTGTTGCTGGCGGTTCTTTTGGTGTCCAACATGCTTCTGACCAAGGAAGGAGTGACCTCCTTGCCAATCTGCTCCAGTGGATCTGCCAACTGCCAAGTTTCCCTTGGGGAGCTTTTTGATCGGGCAGTTAGACTTTCGCACTACATACACTTCCTCTCTTCAGAAATGTTCAATGAATTTGTAAGTACTTTCTATTTTCCTGGGAGTGAGAACGTGCAAAATCCAGTTCAGTATTTTTTGAGCACAAACATATTCATATATGAAACTTTTAAGTACGTAAACAAATATGACTGCAGCATAGACAGTGATCATAGAATCATAGAATGGCTTAGGTGAGAATGGATCTTAAAGATCATCAGACTCTGACCCCACTGCTATGGGCAGGGCTGCCAACCACTAGATCAGGCTGCCCAAGGCCTCATCCAACCTGAGCTTGAACGCCTCCAGGCGTATTATGCTTTCATAATGTAGTCCTAAAGGTGGCTTACAGTGCTGGCCATTGCTAAGATCCCCAACATTCTAGTAAAAGATACAACTTTCCTATCATTCGTTATGTATGAAACAAGTTTGTGTTTCTTTAACTATAAATACTCACCTGAAACTTGTGACCTTTACAGAATAAAAGTAGTGATAGAATCACAGAATCATAGAATCGCTCAGGTTGGAAAAGACCTTCAAGATCATTGAGTCCAACCAGAACCTAACCATAGTACCCCAACTAACAACCCTCTGTTAAATCAGGTCCCTGAGCACCACATCCAAGTGGTTTTTAAACATATACAGGGATGGTGACTCAACCACCTCCCTGGGGAGCCTATTGCAGTGCTTCACAACCCATTCTGTAAAGCAGTTTTTCCTGATACCCAACCTAAGCCTCCTGTGGTGCAACTTGTGGCCAAAAGCAATGGAACAAAAATAGGTTAGTATAGTGTTTGAATTGCAGCTCTTATTTATATCAAAAATACCTCTCCTTTATGATCTGCAGGATGAACGCTATGCTCAGGGTCGGGGTTTCATTACAAAAGCTGTTAATGGCTGCCACACTTCCTCCTTAACCACTCCTGAAGATAAGGAGCAAGCACAGCAGATTCATGTAAGTCCTACATCTAATGCCAATGACTATGAGATGAAGTGTGGGGAAAAAAAAGAGGGAGGAAAAAGACTAGAGAGGGAGCAGGCAGAGACAGAGGGAAGTCAGATTTTTTAGAATGAAATAAAGCCAGAAAGAGGAAAGCTCCAAAAAGCCAAGACATCTGCAGATGTTAAGTTTCAGACTATACAGAATATACAAGACCAGTGACTCATTTTTCTGTATGTTGCTTTCAGACATTGCATCTTACTTCCAATTACAACCTAACCTCATGGAGCAAAGCCAGTTATTGTGCTTCTACAGTATTCAGAATGCTACAAGCTCTGAACATTATTTTAAAACACTTTATATACAAGTGTAACAAACATAAAAATACATTGGCGATATAGTGAATATTGTATGTAGGCAAAGGAAAATGGTTTACTGGAACTGAAGACACTGACATACCTAGAAAATGCTAAATACATATTTTTGCAGTTAACAGAAGGCAAAAATGGTCACATCATCATTCAAAGACAGAGACCTTAGTGTAAAATACTGCAAACTACTTGCAAAGAGAAACCTGTACGTACGTCAATTAAATAATGACAGACTTAAAAATGAAGATAGTCTTGTTCAGCCTATGCTCACAGATAAAATTTGAAAATACCCTGGAGAAAAAAAAAAAGAAAAAAAAAAAAGTAAGCACAGGTGTATGAATGTGAATGTATCAGGGAGAAATTTTTATCAGTTTCACAGCAGTAATAGCCTTGCAGTGCCAGTATAACCATCTGGGTATATAAAAAGTCTGGTTGTGTTCAGATGCAGAGTATCCAGCAAAGAAAAAATGGTTGAACATTACCATAACCATAAGCTTTATGAATTTTCATTTGCCCACAAGGAAGAACAATTTTCAAAATCAGAGAGCTATTGCTAGAAGCACCATTGTTCAAAGGGGAAGGCAGATGAGTTATGCAGAAGTAATAAAAGCTATTTAGTGGTTAACAATAATTTCCATTTTCCATTCCATACTAAAATAAATGAAAATCGTTGGATTATAAATTGTTCATTAAAATCAGATAAAATTTTTCACTTTTTTTTTCCAGGGCTTTTTTTTGTTTTGTTTTGTTTTTTGGCAGAGACATGAAATATAGTTCTGCCTACTAGTTTGTAAAGTGGAGAGGGTTTATAGATATTTTCCAGACAATTACTGTAACTGTACTAATATTGCACACAATAACAACAGCGACATATATCAAAAATTGCACTGAGATATCTAAAATAGGGCTGTAGGGAGCAGTCAGTGGAGTAAATTCCCAAATTTCTGCATTTGAGGACATTGCTTTAATTGCCTCCTAATGCTGCCAGCATATAGCCTTCCTATTTTAACTACCTTTTCTTAACATGGATGATCAGCATGAAGAGCTACTGAATTTGATACTGGGAGTGCTGCGTTCCTGGAATGATCCCCTGATCCATCTGGCCTCTGAAGTGCAAAGAATCAAAGAAGCTCCAGACACCATCCTCTGGAAGGCTGTAGAGATTGAGGAGCAAAACAAGAGGCTTCTAGAAGGAATGGAGAAAATAGTTGGGCGGGTAAGTATTAGGTCCTTACAGTCCTTCCAGCCTATTGGTGTAAAGAAGCCATGTGCAGTGACTGGATCTCTCCACTTGGAAGAGGAAAGAGAACAGTACACAAGAAGGGGGGACAGCGGGGGAGGGGGAAAGGGAGATAAGATAGCTGAAAAGTTCTCAGATTCAGCTATAACTTTTTCTGCCCTCTTGTGATTTCTAAAATAGAGAACATGATGCGATTGTACAGCATAACACAACATAACTCTCAGTCCTGCTGCAAGAGAAGGTGTGATCATCAGAACTGGAAACCTTCATTCCATCTTTGGGCATTTTTGATTTTCAAATTTGTGAAGCATGTGTCTGTGTTTTTTCACACAGTGAAAAACATCCACATCCACACAGTGATTTTTCACATCCACATAGTGATGGGTGTTTATAAGCTTATTTCTATTTGTCTGTATACATGTAGGTATTGTGTATAGTTTTTGGAAATGGACAATATGTTTAGAACTGTTCTGGAAGTCTGGCCTATGGTGGTGGTAAATAGCAAAGTCCTACCAGTCTGGTTCAGTCTCCAGTTCCACCACACTGGTTCTTTGGAACTATGAGTCTGACTTGGTTCCCCCTAAGCTTGGAGACTTAGAAAACAAGCCTGTTGTTTGACAAAAGCCAAAGTCGAATACTCCTTGTTATCAGCAATTGATCAAAAAGCTTTCTTGAATAAAATCAACTCTGGCCTGTTTATTTTTAAAGAGGCCCTTGGCAGTCCCTATACATCATTCTGTCAGTGAGCTATATGTTAATAGGAAGTTCTCAGTTCACCAGCTTTTGCTTTAGAGCAACTGAATAGCATTAAGAGCACCACCATCCCTGTATCTACCATCTTCTGCTGGGGTACACATCATTTCTCTCTTTTATTTTGGTGTCTATTTTACTCAGAAACCTTATCCCATTCAGGCCACAAATGCATTTATCAGTGTAATCAAGTACATCTCTATCCCATATCCAGGTGTAAAAAGGTGGGGATCCAAGACAACAGCAGAAGACAAGCGCTGCTACAGTTATACTGTCACCACCTTCTCATTCACAATATTTACTGAAGAAGGAGGTAGAAGACAAGATTGGAAAATTCATTAGTGTCAAACATGTTTTTGAGTGATTGCAGACCTATTTTTCTATTTTATTCTTTTTTTTTTTTTTTCCATTTGCTTAAACTAAGTGAAAGAAGTTTCACAGATATTCTGCTGTATGAATTCACAAAACATAGCTTGTGAAAAATAAGATTCACCAGTACCACTAAGCACAGATTTCCTTCCTCCTATGAAGGGTAGATTTCTGTGATGTGAGAAAATGAATTATTGCCTCTTTCAAAAGAGAAGACTTAAACCAATCTTCACCTTGGATTCTAGCTCATTACGCAAGTTCCTACACGTAGCTTTCTAGCATTAGAGGTCACTATATCAGTCACAGCTTTTATTGTCTTTCTGTTTTTTCTTTAGTGGTATACAAAAATGAGAGATTTGCCTGGTAGCACGTTCTACAAGGCTGCATGTATCTGAGAGACCACCTAAGAGACGCACTGAGGCAAAGCTGGAGACACAAAGAAGTTCTAAGAACAAGTGCTTACAATGACTTTAAGGTGGAGGAAGCCAAAAAGAGATGCCACTGATGAATCCAGGCACAAAGGAAGGTTTGATTTATCTGCAAAGTCTAATTCCATTAGACATTGCTAACAAACTAGATCTGAGAACACTGACAGCTAAGCTTACAAATTTTAAGGAAATAAACTGAAATATCTGGTGGAAATTCAATCAAAATCTGCTTGAGGATATATAGAACACTATACAGAACAAAGGGAGCCATAACAGGAAACACTTTACAAGCTGTACACTATTAACTAGCGTTCCTCAAGGCCAATATTTCTTAATTCTCTGTTCTACACCCAGTCAGATTGATTATCATCTCTTACAGTACGATTATGTCTCTCTAGATGCATTCTGGCGATGCTGGAAATGAAGTTTTCTCTCAGTGGGACGGCCTTCCATCCCTGCAACTCGCTGATGAGGACTCCAGACTCTTTGCTTTTTACAACCTGCTGCATTGCCTCCGCAGAGATTCCCACAAAATCGACAACTATCTTAAAGTCTTGAAGTGCCGCCTAATCCATGATAACAATTGCTGAGTACCTCTGGGCTGCATCACTCACTGCAACCATTCCTCATGGTGTTCTTGTTGCTTTGCCACTTTTCACTGCGAACTTTATGGAAAGCCATAAGTTGTACGGCACCAGGATCATCAGTAACTTTCAGGCATGCTTGTGTGAATTCTGGCTGCAACTATTAGTGGCGTTTATCTTTGTGTTTAAAATGCTGTAAGTCACTTGTGTAACAAGAATAAACTTCTCTGCCTAATTTCCTCACTTAGTAGCATTTCACTGATAAGTAGATGATGTAGATACAAATAAAGATATTATTAAATACAAAATCACATAAAATCAAGTAGTATCCGTGAACAACAAAATAGCTGGGATGGCTTACACCTCTAGCAAAACCTTTTTTCCTTTTGGATCTCGTCTCCAACTACTGATAAATAACAGGATATCTTGCTTTCATTTCTTTCTGCATGACTTTAAAAACAGGGAACGAAAGAGACAGGACATCAAAGCAAAATATTCACCTATCACAATAAATTACCCTAGACTGAAAGTATGGGCTGAAATGCAAGATATGCTGATACATGTTTTCAATCAGGTACAAAAACTGCCTTGAGTAGGGGACAGAAATGTAAGAAAGCCTGGCTAACAGAGCCACTGATTCCATATGCAGTGTACAGAGCATGAAGACACATCTGGAATTTTAAGAGCAGATCCATATTTCTCTATTGACTGTCTGAGGAAAAAAGCATTTCCAAAGGAAATCTCATTACTTTAAGTGACTACCTGAGGGCAAAAGGAACCAATAGGTTTCAACTAGTAGGTCCCAGTAGGAAGTGCAAGGCATCCAGTCAGGATCTTATCCACCTACTCTCCACATTCCTCACAAGTGATGTGGTGGTTGCAGATGCCCAGAAAACTTTCTAGCTATAAACAGGCATTAGCTGAGCTAAACTGTCTGCTGTCCTGAATCCAAAGCATCTCCATTCATTTTGTACTTAGTCACACCCAGTTTTCAAAGTTTGCCTTTTGAGACACAACTAAAGCATCATAAAATAACAAAATTAGCACAGCCCTAGTAGTTATTTACCTCTATATAAATGTCCATATACACAAAATGTACGCAGTAATAAATAGGCACTATGTAAATAATGTGTAAGAGATCAGATAATACAAACAGCTGAAAAGGTTTGATTTCAACCATCTTCAAAAGGGATAAAATGATGCTTGCAATTATAATCATATATATCCATACACATATGTTTATTATAGTCTTTTAATCTGTTCAAGTTTTCAATTACTGATTTCTTCAGACTTTATCTGGGTAAGTGTAAACCAAGCCCATTTTTAATGTAGGCAAAACCATTTGCACAGCAAATTCCTTGTTAGACAATGACAACAGACAACTTTCATAAATTCCAAAATACACAAAATTTGTGGCACACACAGCAGCAGTTTAACAACGCACAGCTGTACATCAACACAATCATGGAAGCAAATGGTAAAATTTGCCAAGCAAAATGCGAGTGCCTAGACTGGAATTTAATGTGATAATAATATTCAATTTTCTTTTAAAATGCCAGTTGTTAAAAAAAAAAAAAAAGAAGAAGAAGAAGGAAAAAAAAGCATTTTAAAAGGACAAAAAAAGAAGAAAAAACTCCTTTATAATTATCACAAGTGCTTAGAATTACAGTGTGAGTTCTTATTCAAAAGAAAACATGAATAATGGGACAGCTCTGTATTGAGCTGGAGAAATGATTATGTCTCACTGAGTAAACTCCTACCTCAAAATCTCTTTGCAATTCAAAAGCAACTTGATTAATAGGGCAGACATTCATAATTTTACACTTATATGACTAGATCTAAAACAATTACTTTCATCAACTGCCTAAAAATTACAGTGCTAAAACAATTGTTTAAAACTTGCATGCACTGGTTTTATTCAAGCTTGTTCTGGTACAAATATGTGTTTTTAATTTCATAAAGAAGGATAGAAAAGAATGGCAAAAAAAAGATTCTAAAGATCTGAAAAGCAAGTGTTTAGCTAAAGAGGTATTTAAAGCTGATTTGGTTAATATTCTGAGTCATCCCAGCTGTCATAGAGACAGAAAGCTGCTGAACCCCACGAGCACATTGAAAGCTACCCCCTTCATTGTCAAGTGGCACAGACAATGCCTCCAGAACGCAGTTGCTGCTCTGAATGTTCAGACCACAATACAGGCAATTGGCAATTCTCCTTTTTTCAGAAGCTAGTAAAGACAGTGCATTCTTATCTCACTGATACTTTGTTGATTCACACACGTTTGTAAGACCTGAGCAACCATTGTCTTTCATCCAATAAAAACAGTTACGTAGCCAATCTCTTATTTTATACAGCAGTGAATTCACGAGCGTGTTATTTCAAAGTGAAAGAAACTGTGACCAATTAGTCAGAGTTTTATTCCAAATGTGTTAAATTCTAGATATGCACAATTTCAGCATTCAAAACATCTAGTTTTCTGATTATTTATTCCATACCCAGACAGGTGATATTTAAATATCTGCTGCTTTATTTACTCCTGTCCATTTAAGATGGCTTAGCGACAGGAGTAAAGGCAAGGAAAGGTCCACGTGGCTGAAATACAGGCTCAATTCTGGTTCCTTTAAAAATGATATTCGAGCTTCCACAGATGGCACTAAATTTGAGATAAGACCTCATGACATGAAATCTAAATGGTATGAAGGTCAAAGTAATTTATCACTGGGGGCATTCATCACTGAACACAACAGAGCAATAGGGATATGCAGAATGAAAATCTAACTTATATTCATGACTTGTATCCAGAGTCCAGGATTACAGCCAACCTTTGGATCAAACAAAGAATTTTGCGGTTGATCTTAAAGCCAATAAGAGAAGATTAAACTGACAGTATTTGGCATTTGGAATCAGGTGTTGAACGAGTAATGTGAAAATCTTTTTAGTGCTTTTTTTTTCTTCTTTTTCATAAGGTCCTAGAGAAAGCTTGCAATTGTTGAACTCCTATTAGGGAAAAAAAAAAGAAAAAAAAGAGACTTGGCAACTCACCTGTACAATACAGTTTACTTGCACAATATTATTTCAAAGGCAATCCGCAATGCTAGCAACAAGGGATAAACAAAACCACACACACCACCTACATTTAATTTCTGAACAACAGGAATTCTCCAAGGGCTACATTTTTAAACTGATTATGCTTATTATAAATTAAAAGTATATGAGCTACAAATTAAGTCAGAGATTTTAACGCAGTAATCATGCTTATGTATATATCCATACAGTATAGAAATGAAAATACTGCAGTCGTACATGGGAATAACACTGCAGACACATATTTCCACTGAAATTATTGGATTTACTGACCTATGAAGCTACTTACACATGCCTGTTTGCATCTTGAGTTCTTAATGACCTGTGGCTGCAAATTATGTCAGGAAATCCTGAAGATTTCAACTGCCCTTCAAAATTCAATTCAATTGAAATTTAATACTGACTATCAATAGGTTTATACTAAGCAATAAAATGAGATTTTAAACTAGTTTTAAATATAGCAATATCTTTTTGAAGTTTCCTATGCTGCTCCATCTTTCAGCAGTCTTTAGCAAGTTAAGTTTCAATAAACATCAATGTCTGAAAACACCAGGAACATCAACCATGGAGTTTTACCTTTTTTTTTTCCTCCCCAGAGAACTCAGTGAAGCATAAATACACATAAATGTTCATCAAGAAAACTGATGTTCCTACTTACTCTATTTATATTTCTATTTACAAATGACAATGATTATCAGCTAACATTACAACAACATCCACCATCCCTGGAATTGCACAGCTATAATTAGAGACATTACTCCATACTTGAGCATTAAAAAAATGTATATTTTCCGGCAGTAATTTTTCTTTTCATTTATTAGAATAGGAGGAGGAGATGAAAGCAGCTGGGTAATGGTGCTTAATGTTCACTTCACTGTATCTTTTCTAACTTATTTTTTTCACCACAACTGGAAGCAGTAAAAATTGTCCTGATTTTTGGTGAAAAAATGCTCAGAGCCTTCTCCCACTTTCTTTGAAATTTTGTTATTTTTTAAGGACTCAAGGACAGATTCTGTGGAATGTCAAGAAAATATAATGCCATTTTAAAGGATAGTAGAGAGACCACCTTTAAATCAGTAATTTTTTCATGCACTGGAAAAAAATCAAACCCTGTCACTTGCTTTGTCACTAATTCTTTTTATACTATAACATTTAGCATTTAAATCTTTTGAGAAGCACTAGAATCTCATGCTAACACTCTGCCTTTGTGGGAAAAATAAGTTGTGATAGTATACTGCCTTCTAAATCACATGCCCAAAAAAGAACTGCAAGATATCTCTCTTCCCCTTCCCCTTCCCTTTCTCCTCTTCCCTTTCCCCCTCTCCTTTCCTTTTCCCTTTCCCTTCCCTTCTCTTTACTACCCCATTCCCTCTTAACTCTTCCTCAGTCCCCCCTCTCCCTTTTGCCTTTTCCCTTCCCTTCCCTTCCCTTCCCTTCCCTTCCCTTCCCTTCCCTTCCCTTCCCTTCCCTTCCCTTCCCTTCCCTTCCCTTCCCTTCCCTTCCCTTCCCTTCCCTTCCTTCCTTCCCTTCCCTTCCCTTCCCTTCCCTTCCCTTCCCTTCCCTTCCCTTCCCTTCCCTTCCCTTCCCTTCCCTTCCCTTCCCTTCCCTTCCCTTCCCTTCCCTTCCCTTCCCTTCCCTTCCCTTCCCTTCCCTTCCCTTCCCTTCCCTTCCCTTCCCTTCCCTTCCCTTCCCTTCCCTTCCCTTCCCTTCCCCTTCCCTTCCTTTCCCTTCCTTTCCCTCTTCCTTTCCCTCTTTCTTTCCCTCTTCCTTTCCCTCTTCCTTTCCCTTCCCTTCCCTCTTCCTTTCCCTTTCTTTCCTCACATTTCCCCTCTCTTCCCCATTCCCTACCTTTCCTCCTTCTACTCCCCAGAGTTCTTTTCTTGTTTGTTAGGGTTATATATCTCAGTATTGGCCAATACATACCTTTCTATATTTCTTCACCAATGCAGAGCATGAATGGTAACAAACTAAGTGAAAGGAGGATATAGAAACTTTCATGGTCCCAGAAACATTTGGTCATTGGCTCAAGAACAGACTTACAGAGATGAATGTTCATTTCTTATCAACCGACACTGAGCCTCACTAAAAGTCCTGAGGAAGTGTCTTGGACCTTCACAGGAAACTCGTACATTTCACAACCATTTCAAAAGTGATGGCAGAGACACTAGACAAAACTCGTTCAAGTTCACTGCAAATATGTATCCCTATTTTATCCAGACAGCTATCAAAAAGTGCTTCAACAAGCATAACAACGAATTGCATTTACCAACAAGATTTTATAGAAGCAGTACCTCAAAAATTCACTTTTCCTGTCAAATATCAGCACACTAATTATGGGAACACTTTTCGTCTTTTAATAAATTACAGGCTTCATTACACTGAAGAGTACAGATCAATTATTAAATCACAAGTGACAATGTGAGTCATCAGAAATGCAAAGAGCTCTCACTCTAACATGTCAAAGAAACTATGAAGCTCATATCGTTTGTATCAGACACCACATGCTGCAAAGGAGCTTGCAGAATACAGAATACACAACATACATGTACATTCAATTATTAGGAATTAGTTTATGTGCTAAATGAGTAACTGTAAACATATTCCTATTCACTGACGGATTTTTTTTTCCCCACTATCAAGCTGACTACCTCCCTGCAGAATTCAGTGTTAAATGTATCAGGAATTAGTGAAGCTTATTGCATTTTCACAGTATTATCAGAATACATGGACCCACAGTCATCAACCAGGCCACCGTCACAGTACCCTAACATGGCACAAAAAAAGTGCCTCTGCAACAAGGTCCCACTCTGTTTACTTATAATTCAAGTAAGTAAGAAACAGGAGTATAAAAAGAGTGGAATATAATACCGTTTTTCTGTCTTACTTTTCACTCTTTTGCTAAGGTAGCAATAATTCCTGTCATATATTGATATACTTTATTGCACTATCTTTGCTGACTTCAAGTTTGAAAGTACTGTAAATGGTTTGCAGGATTGGACCAATATTCATACATTAGAATAGGCTCTTTCTTTAGTTAGAAAATTGAAATAACAATAATCTTTCCAAGGAGCCATTCCTGGGAGATTTCCAGCCTGATGTCACAGACAACCATAGTTCATACAGCTCAAAAAAGTCTTCAAGCCTTTGGAAGCCTAACTAAAACCTCAGAACCATCTGGATGTTCCAATATCCTGTAACTACAGCACATGTACTAAAACTTAATAAGACAAAAAGTACTTGAATTTATTGGACGTGCATAGGATCTTCTTGAGACCCATGCAATAGAGATCATAGATATTAATGTCAAAGGTAATGCAATAAACAGCTCAACAGTTCCTTAAAGTGGCTTTTATGCTACTCACAAGGAATTTCTTCTTCTGTGTCCCTCTTGCACTGAAGTAAGAAAATAAAAAAGGCTCTTTTCTTTATCATCTTCACTGTATTAGAAAATTGTCTCTCAAGGGCCACATGAAGGAAGAGAGTGCAATGTATAGCCTGAGTTTATTAAGAGATTAGATTCCGATGGATGTCACCATGAAAAAAATGTAAAGTAAAAGCATCACAAATGGTTTGCAAAGACTTTAGGATATCCATTTATTTTTATTTTCACTTGAGATTCCATCTAAGAAAGTAGGACTTATGTGAATATATGACACACACAGGCTCATATAATAGCAAATCTTGAAGCTTTTTTAATATAGTGGTGGATAGCAGCACTGTTCAATAAAGATATTTTCTGTCCCCTAGACAACTCTGCAGCATACAAATCATTACTTACAAAAAAAAAAATACCAAAAAGAAAAGAAAAGAAAACAAAAAACAAAACAGAGTTTCTCTGCAACTCTGGGAGGCTAAAGGTATTTGTGTAATTATTTATACCATGCACATCACCTTGGTATCAAAGCATTACATATCTGGTATTGCCTCTATCAAAGGGATTAAGAGTGCTGCTTCAGCCTAAATTAAGGGTAATGTTATATAGCTAATGTCACAGCATAAATCCGACTGGGGACAAAAGAGTGGAGCGAAGCTGTAGATTGATGGATCTATACTCTTGAACACACACAACACAGAGAGATGGCGAAGAAACACCATGTGCTCTCCTGAGCGCTCAGCATGCAATGAAAGATGCTTTTGATGGAGTTTTAGCCTTAAACCACATCAGCAAGACTTTTTTTTTTTACATTTAAGTGTAGCCAGGGCAAACAGGATGTGAACTCAGCCTTCAACATCATAGACATATCGAAGAAAGAGGCAGCACTCAAAAGCTTCTTTGAATGAGGCAAATCATTTTATAGTTAGTTCATCTATATTAATATAATCTGTTAGCTGAGACTCATTTCTTTTTCTATAAACTACAAAGTGCACCACTTTTCAACTGTACAAACGTATATACATTTGTGTAAGAAATATGCAAGAGATTTGTGTATATATCTTTTCTAAACCTTCTTACAAGCAGGTAATATTCCCAAAAAGATCATAAACCTTGGAATATACCTGAACAAATGCCTTTTTTTTACATTTCCCATTTCTTTGCAGATATAAAACAAAACAAATCAAACAAACAACATCTACTGTTAAAAAATAAATGGGGATGGGGAAAGTATTCTTCAAAACATCCTCTTTTTCTTAACATGCAGTGATTCTGTAGTAGGAAAATTTGTCATGAAAGTTCTCATTTAGCAAAGAAAAGTCTCTTTCATTTGGTTTCAGCATTTCTCTCCTCACAAATACAGTGACATTCTAAATGAAGTAATGCCTAATGATTTCTCCCTAAACATATGAATTATGCATTCATAATTTTCAAAAAGAAAATCAGTGTTTTCATTAAAATTTCTGTTTTGCTGGTTAAAAACTGTCATCTCACCATACTTTCTCCAACAATAAAATTTTCCTTGGGCAGGTATCTACATCATCTCAACATTTTAGCAACAGTTAAGGAACACTTGTCAGTGGAAAAAGGACTAAAAAGGTAATCAAATAGAAAACAATAAGGCTATGCACTATGCAAAGACTTTTGAGACATGCAATGCTGTACAAAGTATATCAGTTCACAGTTCAAGATGAAAACTTAAATAAATAGCAACTGAACAAGTAGTTTGATGTACATAAGAGGGTTCTTTGTGCTTTTTTGAGGGGGAAATGAAAAAAGAAACTTCTTTTTTTTTTGAGCCTGAGACAGCCAGTCAAGTAACACAGACTTTCAAGTAATGTCTAACCAGGATTCCTGACCCAGTAACATTGCATGAAAATAAAAAAAAATTAGACTTTCCCAAACCAACTCCCTGGGGCCAACACCTAGAAAGCAAAAATACACGAGGATTACATCAAAAGGAACTGACCTATTTTTTTTTTTCCCTTCTACATAAGCTTCAGAAATCAGCAAAATACTTCCCTATAAAAAATTAGTAATCAGCAGCTGCAAGTCATCAAGATTTCTCCAGTGAGTCCCCCTCAAATTGCTTATTCTTTGAAGGGAAATCCAATTTCAATCACGCATTAAACATTTCCCGGTGACCCCACTGGGCATTTTCGAAGAGCTTCCCCTGCTATCATCACAAGAGGCGTGGACTTCAAAATCCTGATTGGAATTGAACCCAAATTCTGAATCGCTTCTTCAAGCGGTTGTCTTCATACGACAAAGGATTTACGCTGTTTTACCACAGCTCTGTGGCTGGGAGGCTGCTGTGCCTCATCAGCAGTGCTCACATTGCCTCCAGCAGCCACCCATGCACAGCTACCTCAGTGCAAATGTTTGAGCAGGCATGAGCAAGCATGAGGCAAGAGCTCAGATTGTCTTGGAGGGCAATGTGTGGCTTGCTGTTGATTGCTAAGCAACCCAGGCCTGCTGCTGACCCCAGCGCCTTCACCACAGTTGGAGCTTTTGGGGGAGAAAGGACCTTTCAGCAGACTGTGCACAGCCCTGTTAATGTAAAGCCCTGTTTCTGCAAATAAAGGGCAATAGCAGGGTCGCCCTATGTTCAGTACACTCAGTGGATAGCTAGGTGGCTTTATTTATTTACTTATTTGGTTTTATTTTAATGGAGCTGACAAAATCTGGCAACAATGCGCTGTGTAAAAAGTGACATTTTGACTCTAAGGGAGGAATTATTTGCGATTTGTTTTGAACAGAAGCTTAGTTCATGTCAGATGTGAACCTCCAGACAATCATTAGTTTAAACTGCCTGCTATGTGTTTAAAAATTTCAGTCAATTTATAACTGATCTGAATTGCAAATGGGATGGTAATAAGCCATTAGGGAACAACATATCTCTTTTTCACACTCGCAGCCCTCTGCTTTGAGGGGCTTCAACTGCTCTGAAATATGAAAATACCCTTTTAGTCATGTGCAGTATCAACAAACAGGGCTACTTTTGAGATGCAGAAATGGAATTTCTTGGAAAATCACCCAGAGAAGACTGGCAGCTGACACAGGAGCAAAGCAACATGGAGCCCAAGCTGTGAATAGCAGGCAGTGGTCAGCTGTCTGAAGAACAAGTAGCCTGATTTGCTGGTGGCATTGTAATGCCTGGTAACTCACAAGCACTTGGTTACTTTGGTTGCTGACTAAGGGATCTGAGCCATTTCTTATCCTCTATGAAACCACCTTTGTGAGTGAACATAGGCTTTGCATTACCAAAATATTTCTGCATAGTTACTCGTACTTCCTCAGTACTGATTCTCCTGAGCTCAAAGGAGTAAAAAGTAAAATTTTTTGTCATTCTCGTTCAAAATGGGGATCTGCAGTAGGCATCCTTAAAAGGCCTGCACAACTAAACATAGAGCAAGTGTAAGATAGATGATAGCATTAAGTATTGTGGCTCTTGTCTTGAATATCTCTTCCCTTTGATCATTATCATAATTTATATCATCATAAATCACCTACTGATTTATCATGCTTCATAGTTGAAAAAACTATCTTTACGTATCCTTCTTGTTACTTTATATTTCTATAGCCACTGTTAAGTACCTGCCACTATTTGTTGAGGTTGTTTCTTGTTTTTTTTTCACAGACTAATAAAATTAGAATCCCTTATCAAATTATTTCATTGTTTCTCAAATCTGCAGCTGAGCCAACTATATGACTGACTGTGCCAGATGACAAGCCATGTAATCTCTACATTCAAATAGATTCTCTCCTTCCTCCTATGAAGGAGAGAGAAATTCAGACTTCTGATGTGCATCTGTGTAAGTGAGCACTGGAGAACACAGTACTGGTATAAAAAGTGGTGTTATTGATACTCCCACAGCACTGGATACTTTTGCAACCCTAGAGGTGAGTTAATGGGGTTCTGGAACACCTTCCTCCCTGAAGCTGTATGTATAATACAGCTCCTGGAAGTTTTGTTTCTAGACAATCTCCTTGTTGAGGGGAGATTATCCCAGAGATGCCTACAGCAGCCTGCATAACTGTAACCACTCTGCAGTATTCCCCATGGGAGGTCCAGCAGACCAAAATGCTGTTGTGTTAGCACACATGCTGGACTGGATTTCTGCAGAACGTTCCTTCCTTCATGAGAGAGCATTAAAATGGATATTCCATCAATTCTTTCCCAGCGCATCCACTCAATCCCCTCTGCTTTTCAGAGATAGCACCATAGCTGATAGCAGGTGAACGTAAGAATTACACCATATCTCAGGTTTTCTAGGGAGTTTACAACAGCTCTTGTACATCTGGCAATATGCTAGAAAGAAGATTGCTTGCTCAGTACTATTATTGACCTGCTGTGCAGCAGAAAGGAAATTGGCAAGGTCAAATAGGTCAAAGGTAGAATGTTGAGGCAGAAACTTGCCTTGCTTAAGGAGGGTAGAAATAACAAGGACAAAGCAACTCAGGTAAAACCATGGGATTTGATGACTGTTACAGGAACTTGATTAACTACTAGGACTGAAAAAAACATCCTCTATCTGTATCTCTGCCTCAAACAGCACACATCTAAAACAACTATAACAAAGACTGATTCTACTGAGACCAGCTTTCATCAAACTCCAAGCTTTGGTGTACATATGCATATAAAAATGTAAAATCATATATGATTTCATTTTAACACTAGCAAGAATTTCTGTTGTATAAATATTAAAACCAAAGGGAAAACATATTTTCAATATTCAAATTTTCATATTAAAAGTCTGTAGTAACATGAATAAGCCCCAGACAGGAAAAATCTGAGTTTTTGTTTTGTATTACTTCGAGAACAGATGCACATAAAACTACTCAAGCATAGAAACTTCACAGATAATTCTCAACCACCAAAAGTAAAGAATTCCAAATTCCCAATTTCCTGAGAGCACAACAGACCATTCATCTCCGTCAAATCCCCATGAAGTAAATTAATCCTTTCCAATTATCCTTGCAATGCATATTTGGGATAACAGTTCTCTACTTTGAAATGCACATGACGTGTGGAGCTTCCACTCATTTTAGTGAGATAAAAAGCACATTTCCAATTTGAGTCTTTGAAAAAGTCTGATGTTCAGTTTTTATTATAACACAGAGATTAAGGACAGTCCTACTGAACACTAATATTTAAAGACATATTCCTTTCAGAAGTGATATTACAGCACAGGACAATTAACACACACCCAGAAGAACATACTTCAACCAAAAATATTTCCTGTGACAAATACAGAATTTAAAAATGTATTATGTGTTCGTTCAGATGGAAATACAGTAGTTACATACTTTCAAATCTAAACTCCAGCTATTTACAACTTCCCCAGCAACTGCAAAACGCTAAGAAGTCTGCGTTCAAAGTTGCCCTGGTCGAGCTTGTGATCTTTTGAGGAATGTGGGCCTGGCAAAGAGTGGTGTCAGGACCCCGAATTTCGGAAGAGTGAACTTTAAGCTGTTCAAGGTATTGTTGGCCAACATCCCTTGGGATGCTGTCATTAAAGACAAAGATATTGAGGAGAGCTGGTTACTCTTCAAGTGTGCTTTCTGGGAGCAAAAGAGCTCTCCATGCCCCTGAATAAGAAAGTGGGCAGAGGAGGCAGGGAACCGGCATGGCTCGGCAAGGATCTGCTGGGCATACTGAGGGCAAAGAAAGGTGCACACAAGCTCTGGAAACAAGGCCATGTCATCTGGGAAGAATACAGGGATGCTGTCTGGACTCGCAGACATGGGATAAGGAAAGTCAAGTCACAGGCAGAGCTAAACTTGATGAGGGATGTGAAAAACAATAGGAAGACTTTGTACAGGTACATTGGCCAGAAGAGACAGGCCAAAGCAAGTGTACCTCCTTCGGTAAATGTAAAAGGAGAACTGGCTTCAACGGTTAAAGAGAAGGCTGAAGTATTGAATGCATTCTTTGCCTCAGTCTTCACTGACAGCCAGGAATCTAATATTTCTCACATCCCTGAACCCTGCATTCCTAAACCTCTAAGTGGAGTCTGGGACAGTAAACCCCCTCCCCACTGTAAGGACGGAGCAAGACTGCCTCATGAGACTGAATGTGTACAAGTCTATGGGGCCGGATGGCATGCATCCCAGGGTTCTGAAGGAGCTGGCTGAGGTGGTTGCTGAGCTCTCCATCATATTTGAGAAGTCGTGGCTGTCAGGTGAGGTCCCGAATGTCTGGAGGAAGGGTCACATCACTGCCATGAATAAGAAAGGGAGCAAGGGGAACTACAGGCCACCCTGTAGTCTCACCTCTGTGTTTGGGAAGATCATGGAACAGATCCTCCTGGACGACATGCTTGATCACATGAGGAATGAGCGTGTGATCCGAGACAGCCAGCATGGCTTCACCAGGGGAAGGTCATGCTTGACCAATCTGGTGGCCTTCTAGGATGGAATAATTGCATTGGTGGACAAGGGAAAGGTGACTGATGTCATTTATCTGGACTTGAGCAAGGCCTTTGACATGGTCCCCAACCACATCCTCATCTCCAAATTGGAGGGATGTGGATTTGATGGGAGGACCACTTAATGGATAAGAAATTGGTTGGAAGGCCGCAGACAGAGGGTGGTCATCAATGGCTCTGTGTCCAGGTGGAGGCTGGTAATGAGCAGCGTCCCCAAGGGGTCTGTCTTGGGACCGGTGCTCTTTAACATTGATGAGGGAATCGAGTGCACCCTCAGCAAGTTTGCTGATGACACCAAGCTGACTGGTGTGGTTGACATCATGGAAGGAAGGGATGCCATTCAGAGGGACCTCAACAGACTTGAAAGGTGGGCCAGGGTGAACCTAAGGAGGTTCAACATGGCAAAGTGCAGAGTTTTGCACTTGGGCCGGAGGAATCCCAGGCTTTTATACAGACTGGGAGGAGCAGTTCTTGAGAGCAGCCCTGCTGAAAAGGACCTGGGGGTCCTGATGGATGAAAAGCTTAACATGAGCCAGGAGTGTGCCTTTGCAGCTTGGAAAGCAAATGGTGTCCTGGGCTCCATCAGAAGAGGGGTGGCCAGCAGGGACAGGGAGGTGATTGTCCCTCTCTATTCTGCTCTTGTGAGGCCTCATCTGGAGCTTTGTGTCCAGGTCTGAAGCCCCCAGTACAAGAAACAAAGGGAACTGTTGGAGAGAGTCCAAAGGAGAGCCACAAAGATGATCAGGGGGCTGAAGTACCTCCCCTATGAAGACAGGTTGAGGGGGTAATAAATGGGGATTCTGGTGGCCCTGTCTGTGGCAGAGGGCTTGAAGATTCATCATCCTTGAAGTCCTTTCCAACCTGGGCCATTTGTGATCCTGTGATTCTGTTTTCTATCATTACTTTGGGTCTGAGAAAAACAGCACACAGGAAAAGATGATCAGAATCCATCAAAATTTTGTAAGGGAAAAAAATCTGGAAATCCTTTGCTCTCTGCTTCTTTTTCAGTGACGTTAGACTATTTAGTATTTTTGTCTCCTTAGATCAGGTATTCAGTATTAATTCCCTCAATTACTCTAGTAAAGTCAGTACACGCCACAGTGCATGCTTTAAATGCATTTTATTTTCCATATATCATTTTCCTCATCACCATAAATGGGTTCTTGCATGTACAACCTACCTCTTGCACTTACACCTGCACAATCTGGCAGTTCAAATGTGTACATTATGTAGGGAAACTGTTGACATTTACATACCTGCTCCATTTAAATTGGAAAACTGACTTCCAAGGGGAAAGTTCTTATCCTTATTTGACATGTGGCACAGGCCAAAGATCTGCAGTTGTATTTACTGAAAGGAAACCAACACAGTGAGAGAGAAAGATATGAGCAACTTGAGAGATGTGATTTCTTGGACTTTCAGTCATGTGTGTGATTGTCATATACTTTTTCGTGTGAGATATTTGGCTATCTGAATATTACTTTTCACATGACATAGTCCTAAGAGCATGTAGTATAAATGATCATAAATCAGTTATGAAAAGATTGTCATGTGAATGGCATCTCAAAGACAAACAATAATTTCTGTGCTCTAAATGAACATAATCCAAACACAGAATAATATTTTGGTTTGGTTAAAGAAGAATTCTACAGGAATCAAAGGCTTAGCCCTACATTCCTTCCTTATGTCGATATTCCTATTGAAATCAGTGGGATGCTCTATGTATATTGCTTGCTCTGAAAGTAATTTTCCTTCTACTTATTTCCACGGAAATTACAATGGATATGAAGAGGACAATAACACTATTTGATGGAGCAGATTCTCGACTACAAAACACAATTTTTCAGTACAATCACCACCATGAGCTATACATTTTTGCTTGCGATGAATAAGAGACTACATGCTGTGGTTGTAAAAATCTGCACCAACATTGGTGACCCATTGTTGCTGTTGCTACTGTTGAAACGCACCATCCACCACCTCACTGTGTTCATATTCACTTTTTAGTCTCCCTAAACATTCAGCAAGCATTGATGAATGCATGGAAAAAATTCTCTCACTCAGCTGCATACCTTTGCTTTATACATTATTTATAAATGTTGTTGTTTTCATGGAAACAAATGGGAGGCATTACTTGTGGAACAGCCTACATACGTGCTTCACTATGGCTGGATCTATTACTTACATGAGGTTCAGCACTGAGGTTGTTCTCCATATTATTATCAAATGAAACTGTAACCTAGGATTATCCTCCTATTCCTTGTGCAAATTCTTTTGGCTAGTGGCAATGATATTAGCATGCCGTAGAAGAGCAGTCTAAAAAATTGCCAGGAAGTACAGAAGAAAGATATTGCAAAGATACCATCTCAGGGAAAAACAAGTGAAGACAGGTCTCAGTGATACGCAAATCAAGCCTTGAGAAACAGTTCTCAAGTGCAGTTCCCTGCAGGGATGATTTAAATTGAAATGATTTTTAATCAATATAGTCCAAGTTCAAAATAAAAGAATTTGGCCCTTGACTCTAAATCTGTCTGATTCATTCTTAATAGTTACTTCAGAAGTTTTTCTAACCAGTAGTTCAAAGTACAAATCTATTGTAGAAACCTTGTACAATACTAATATACATTCAGTATTTTAAAAGGGTTTTTCTAAACCAAGAACATGTAAAGAAAAGCACTACATGCTGAGATTCATCCAAATTAGAGCAGCATATTGTTATCCCAGCACACCCAGAGGGAAAACAGAAATTTTGGAGAAGTCCAATCTCTTACAGTGTTGCTATTCAGTTTTCAGAGAACCCAACTGAAGTCTATCCAAGTTGTCTTGTTGCTATGTTAGGTCGAACTTGTCCTTTCTTTTGAGTTGGAGCTGAATGCAGTGTTGCAAACAAGAGGCAGTGCATAAACAGATTTGAACTTGAGCACACAAAGTTCCATCCTAACATGCGGAAGAAATTCTGTATGGCAAGGGTGACAGAGCATTGGAACAGGTTGTCCAGAGATGATGTGGAGTCTCTTTCTAAGCAGACATTCAAGACCTGCCTAGACAGCTACCTGCGCAACATATTGTAGGGTATCTGCTTTAGCAGGGGGGTTGGACTTGATGATCACTTGAGGGCCCTTCCAACACCAGTGAATCTGTGATTCTGTGATTGAACAAAGCCTCAGAAGGTTTCCATAAAAGACAGACAGAAATGTCAAGGCAGTTGCTTCCTACGGCCACCACCTGGAGGCAGAGAAGTGGGAATCTGCATGCAGAGTGTCTCCTACATGCATATCTACAGAATTCCTCCATTTTCCATTTTCTGAAAATGTTTTTTATTCATTCAAAGAATGAATGTGTGTAGATATGAGATAACATGGGCCTCAGGGCTAGTATCAGTAGGAAGGTGAAGGCAACAACCCCAGACGTGAAGGTGAAGACTATGATGCAAAATGAAGTTCATCTCACAGCAGCTCAAACCCTGAAGACACATTACTGTGAACACAAGTCTTGAATGACCAAGAAAAAAAAAAGAAGTAAACATTATTTCCCAGATGACTCTGTATAAAATGTTCTATAATCACTGATAAAAAACATAGCACAAAAGAAGTAAATAAAAAAACATGAAAAAAAAAAATGCTTTTTAAGATGTGTGGATCATTAAATTTGCAGAAAGGAACAGCTGCATTCCTGGATTGCAATGTTATCAAATGACTGCTCAGAGGCAGAATGCGGTGTGAAGCCATAGCGCCTCAGCCTATGACACTGTGGTCACAGATGTCCTTTACTTCATACACTTTGTTGAAGTGGTATGGAGGTGGGACTTGCTTTCAGCTGACTTTTACTTTCATTCTCTTTCATTAATGCACAATACTAAACTGACTTCTTCTTTGCCTAATGTGTCCAGGTTTCCAAGTTCTTACATGTGCATAGCTTTCTCCTCAGTGCCATGACAGTATTTAAGAAACATGGGATTGGCCCAGAAAAAGAGAGCTTCTGGGAACAAACCAGATATTTGTGTTTATGAAAGTACGTCTGCTTCAGAAGTATCAAGTTATACTGGGACTAGTTCCTGTGGTGGATTTTAACACTCCATCCATCGATAGACAGATCAGTCCTAACAGGCTGGTATTTACAAGGTTTTGTTTTGCTGTGTTTTGTTTTTATTTAATCATTTAGCAAAACACAAGTTTGCACAAAAGATGAAAAGCCACTTGTACACAGATTGAGAGGTCAACAGCATAGCTGAGTGCTCAGACGTTGGCTGTTCTGTAGCTAGGCTGTGTCTGACAAATAGAATATACCTCAGAAAAGGGGATGTGATTTGAAATATTAAGGAGCGTTTCAAAGGTAATAGCTGTAAGGACAAGATAACCACTGGAGAAAGATTATATCTGGCTGTGTATCTATGTGTATCACAGGACTCCAGTATATACTACTTCTAGATACCAGGGCTTATCTCATATGTAATATCCTAATTTCAAGAAGATCAGGATTCACCCACACAACAGTCCTACAAAAGGTGACCGGTCTTCCAAATTCAATGAGGTAAATGGTGAGATTGCAAAGCAACTTGGAGCAGCTGGAGCTGGTGTGAGCAGTGCCAAGAAGGATGGATTTTAACAGGCAATCAGGCAAGCAGAAAGTAGCATTAGGCTGCATAATTTCCTGTTGAAAATGATGGAGAAATGTCAGGAGTTCAAGGGTAGTTATGGAGCATGCATTACCAGAAGACTGTAGGGATGGATATGTATACGAAGGGTTAATCTTGAACACTGCTATACACTTTGCTGGCATATAAGCTTAACATACTTAATCAGGTGATTTATGCAATGTAGAATACAGAAGCATAAATGCCTATCTCCTGGTACCTAAGTCCATTAACATTAGAATTAGACATGTCATCTATATCCAGTATGCATTATTTTACTGATGGTTACATATTTATTCCTTTATCAGATTTTTGTTTAAATGAGCTTCACTAATCACAAAAGACCTGAATAATTTGATGTGCAATAAATGTGTCCTCGTAGCCTTATTATTCCTTAAATAGAGGAAAGAATATGTCTGGATTAGCTCAAACGACAATTCCCTATCTTACATTAGGTTCACTAAGTTACAGTGGAAAACATTCATGCAATCTCAAATGAAAGAGTTCAAATAATGACAGAAGGTATAGTTAATTAGTTGACTGGATTATTCAATCCTTGCATAAAGGCATGAGCTCAGCTTTAGCGAAGAAGTAAGCACTGACAGAAGTTAATGCCCTCTTTAAACATCTTAGACTCTTGTCAAAATTATAATTGCAATGATTTCCTGCATTTGGTATAACAGAGGGCTGATCTTTTTCCACCTGATAGGAGTTCCTCAGTTAGAAAAGGGAACTGAATAAACTGAATAAAACACAAGTGTATGACATGCGTTAGTACCAATTGCATTATATACTGTACGAAACACCTTGAAAAAACAATGTTCTTTATGATAAAGGCACTTATAGGATGAGAGGGACAAAAATGACAAACAGAAAAAGACAGACAGATGGAAGAACAAGGATACAGTGACACAGTTGGTCAGCCTGACAGGCCAGTACATCTCCAGCATGGCAACTGTCAAAATTTTATTAAAATTTACAGTAAAAGAAAATTTTACAGGGGCAGCTAAGGAAAATCTCTTACAAAAACAGTGAGGTGAAGCAAGCTAAAAATCAAAAATATGTCAGACAAATCAGAATGAGGCTTTTTTTTTTTTTTTTTCCCCTCTGATACACTTTCCTTCTGAAGGAATAAAAAATAAAAAAGAATGGTTTATTTTCCAGATGCCTAGATCCATACCCCAGTACGATACACTTTCTTTTCATTCACTAATGTTCTGCATTCATTGTCTTAATCCAACTGAAGAAACCCTTCAGAATCTTTACTTGAAATTCCCCTATTTCCTAGAAAATTGATGTGTCATGCTTTAAGAAAAAAGCTGCTTTTCCTCTGAACATGTTTACCACCTTCAGTCATGCCAGACATTTTTGGAGTGTAGGAAACATGGCTTTGTTGACATGAGAGGAAGGCCCTATAGAGTGGTTTCGGACCAGAGACTAGGACCAATGGGATGAAATTCAACAAGACCAAGAAGGGCAACGAAGCTGGTTTGGAGCACAGGTCTTATGAGGAGCAGCTGAAGGAGCTGGGATTGTTTAGTCTGCAGAAGAGAAGGATCAGGGGAGACCTTATCACTCTCTACAGCTACCTGAAGGGAGGTTGTGGTGAGGGGGGGTCAGCCTCTTCTCCCATGTAACTAGAGATAGGACTAGAGGGAATGGCCTCAGGTTGCGCCAGGGGAGATTCAGGTTTGATGTTAGGAACTGTTTATCTGAG